AAATTAAAGACTCAACTTTGGGATAGTGTTGTGAATATAGTATTAGTTGAGGCCAAGAATATTCGTGATGACAGCAACTCCAGTGATATTCATTTCAAGTTTAAATTGGGTTCCGATAAATATAAGAGCAAAGTATTTAATTCAATATTTATATTAATTGATGACATTTTATGAATTTAATTAATGAGATGTGTGTTTAGGTAATCCCAAAAGCAGTGAACCCGGTTTGGTCGGAACAATTTGATTTGCATACATATCTCGATCAGTCAAAAGTGTTGGAAATGTCATTATTTGGCAGAGAAGAGATCGGAAAGTTTTCAATCAATTTAAATGAATTGGCGGCCGAAGAGACGCATAAAATATGGGCCACTTTAGAAGGAGACGCCGCCTCTGTTTTGATTTTACTCACAATTAGCGCAACTCTCGGATCCGAAACCGTATCACATCTTAACAACGATGTGAACACTAAAGAGCAGCAAAATTTGCTTCAAAATAAATATGTAATTCAATGCAAATTATGTTTAAATTAACATTAATTTTTAATATATTTGCAGAGTTTATGGAAAAGTTTGAAAAATATTAATGATGTCGGAATATTAATAGTAAAAGGTAACTTTTATTTATTGTCAATCACCACTGGTTTTAATACAAATTGTTTTGTATCAGTATATAAGGCCGAAGCGTTAGCCTCAGCGGACATCGGGGGTAAAAGTGATCCGTTTTGTGTCCTTGAATTAGTGAATTCTCGATTGCAAACAAATACTGAATACAAAACATTAGATCCCGAATGGAATAAAATTTACACCTTGTAAGATTTAATACATCAATTCAATTATGACCGTAATATAAACTTCTAATTATATTAATACAAGCATGTTCACAATTTAAGAAGTGTAGATTTAAGCGTTAGATTTATAAGTTATATTTCTTTCAAATTCAATACTTATTTTTGTGATGTTTATTCAATGTTTATTTATTTTTAAAGCAAAGTTAAGGACATTCACTCAGTTTTGGAAATAACTGTTTACGACGAGGATAGGGATAAAAAAGTGGAATTCTTAGGCAAAGTTGCCATTCCTTTGCTAAAAGTAATATAATATTTCTAATATTTCACTATAATATTTGGTATATTTTACTAATATTTAGATTCTATTTTTAAATTAGATCAAAAACAACGAGAAAAAATGGTTTGGTTTAAAGGATAAGAAATTATTAAATCGTGCGAAGGGACAGATTCTGTTGGAAATGAATGTCTATTATAATAAGGTTTGTTTCAACATTTATTTAATGCACACAAATTAAAATTTAATAGTTTAATAATTAATATTTATAAGTAGTTACAGTATTTCCCAAACATTTTTAAATAATATATTATTTGAAGACAATAGTTCTATATCTATGTCTAAATCTATTAAATAATATCAAAATTCTAACAAATTTAATATTTGCTATAAAATAATTAAAACGTGAAATAATTAAACTGGTTTGAATTTGTTTGACCAGGCCAAAGCAAGTATCCGCACATTTAATCCAAGAGAAGACAAATTTATAAAACAAGAGCAAAGATTTAAGCGAATTGTGTTCATCCGGAATGTCAGTCGATTGAAGGGTTTAATTATGGAAGTCTACGAAATATTGAAATTTATGAAAAGTTGCTTTCAATGGGAATCTGTGTCCCGAAGTATTATATCACTCACTATATTCCTAATCACCACATATTTCTTCGAGCTATATATGGCGCCCGTCTTTATTCTCATGATTTTCGTTAAAAGTTATGTTTGGATTAGAGTTGAGAATTATTTTAATCCCAGTACTAAAGACGATGCGGTAATTTTATTTATTACACTAGTATAATACAGTAGTATAATAGTGTGTGTTATAGTTATCTTAATTATTTATATAATGTAATTATTTTATAGACTGAAGACTTAGAGGACGGATCCATTGATGAAGAAGACGACGAGACAAAAAATGTTAGTTACAGTGTTATTGTTGTTTTCGATTATTTTTAATAATTTCTCAATAAATTTGCTTTTATAGGAGGAGAAGAAATCACTTATGGAAAAGTTGCAAACTGTTCAGGAGATCACAACAATGATCCAGAATATTATCGGCGAAATCGCATCGTCCGGCGAAAGAGTCAAAAAGTAAGGAATATTCTTTCACTCTATTTGTATTCATTACAAAATATAACAATAATTTAAACAATTATTACTATTATTGTATTAAATAATTAATTATATTTACATTTCCTGTAAATGACAGTACGTTCAACTTCAGTGTGCCTTTCCTTTCGTGGCTGTTAATCATTTGTCTGTCAATAATAACAGTCATCTTGTATTACATTCCGTTAAGATATTTAATTATGGTTTGGGGTATAAATAAATTTACTAAAAAACTTCGCTCTCCCGATGCAATCGATAACAACGAATTATTAGACTTCTTATCCCGCGTACCAGATGTTGATGAAAAGGTATGTCCAGGAGTTTGACTATCGCTTTAAAAGCTATTATTTAACAAACATTTCATTTGTATGTTTAGGTAATGCACAGAGAATTTAGAATTCAAGCCAATAATCAATTGAATGCAACCGACGATCGCAAGAAGAAGAAAAAGACGGTTTAATCATTCGTTTCTCTTTCAATATATACTAATTGTTGTTGAGATAATCCGTACTAAATATATCCATCAATTAATAAATTTATAAATTATTTGCATTTATCAAAATGAATTACATACTGGAAACCATTAAGAGATTATTGTATAAATAATGCATTTATTACTTGATTGCAAGATATATTCAAAACGGATTTTTAACAGAATTCAATTTTCGATGGAAATTGCTGTCGATTTTGAATCTAATATATTATATGAATTATTTAACAAATATTTCCGTCATTATTATTATTGTATAGTTTTTATCAAAGCAGAAGTTTTGCTCAAAAGTTATATACAATTTAACGCTAATTCAGTATATTATCAACTAAAAAATTACCGTTATATAAATTATATAAACAACTAATTATTCATTTGAAAGAATATTCAATATTTTATTTTTAAATTCGTATATTAATTACGGTTATATACATACAGAATATTTAATCTATAATTTGATCATTTGTTTTAACGATTGTGGAAATAATCGGACAATGATTATAGGAAACAAAAACTATCTAATTTTGTTATAAAAAATGTATGCAAAATGTATGCAAACCCTATTATAAATGGTAAACTATATTAGAGAGGGTTTGGGCGAGCATTCAAATGAATATTTAAAAGTCTAGTCAATTATCAAATGGGTGTCACTTTGAAAGCCCGAGTAATGAGAAACCCCTTTGCCTTCTCTGACATTTGAATTAATGTTTACCGACAGCAGAGCCCATACAAAACCATTCAAATACCGTTCAATCAATCATTTGCGGGCTATTTATCGCATCATAAGAGTTGTGAATTTGTTTTTACATTTCTTTTTAACCATTATTTATAATATAATTTTTCAAATTATTTTTATATATAAAACAAATTTTGAGAATTATTTATAAATGTTAACTTAAACTTTCATTTAAAAATATATTTATCAATTTTTTATAATTAATATTAAAAAAAACACTTTATATAAAAAGTTTAAATCAAAAAATATCTCAAAATACACTTTTAACAAATACCAAAACTTATGCCTTAAAAATATAATTATCTTAAATAATACCATTATTTGCGAGACTATTATAACAAACAACTTCTGACAATAATTATATATTAATTCTTATCATTAATTATTGTATTGTTATTCAAATACATAACTTATTGTTGAAATTTGTTAATTCAATCAAATATCCAATTATTAACTAAAATATGGCGACAATTAACCAATACTTTACTCGTCTGTGATTTAAAATTGTGTATAAATTATGAAAATAAACGAAAATTAATATTCAAATCAAGTTTTATAACCAATATTTTTATTCTTAAATACAAGTCATTAAAGTGTTTATTGTCTTCAAATGGTAAGCAAAGAGTAACACATCCAGCGATCACTTGTGTGAAGCGGCGGCCGCTTTCCTCTGTTGGACCAAAACGTTGGACAACTCGTCTCTCTTCCTCTTAGCTCTCAAATGAGTTCCCAATCGTCTCTTCAAGAACTTGAGGGCTCTCTTGTCCTTCGAGATCTTCAACAGTTCCATACATCGTCTCTCATAGGGAGCGAAACCACACACTTCTCGCACGATATCTCTCACGAATTTGTTGTGTTTTGTGATCCGCTATAAGACATACAATCAAACCATGCATTCATTAATCAAAATGTAAATCACATTAAATCTCAAACCATTGAAACGGCAATCAATGTCTCAATACATACCCCTTTAAAACTCGATGGTTTGGGTTTGCGTTTATTTTCGGTCACTTTATGGCCTTTATTGAGACCCAAAATCAACTCATATCTCGTTTTTCCCATTTCTCTCTTCAATCGGATTTAGAAATCACTTCAAAATACAATTGAAAACAATTTGAAGACAAATGAAGACACGCTTTGACAGGAAAAGGATGTCATAAACCAATGGTTGCCTCACTTTCACATAAATCACGTCATTTTATATCTTGTATAAAATATTTGTGCCTTATTTTGCATTTGAATTTTGCCGGTATTTTAAATATGTTTAAATAAAACACAAATTTAATTAAAAGTATTTATAACTGAATTAAATAAACCTATTCTATGTCTTATGGCAAA